GCGGGCCGGCGGCTGGGTCGGCCCGCCCCGCCCCCGCCAGGCTTCGCTGTTAATCCTTAAGCGGGGGGGGGGAGGCCCAGGTGGGACGGAGCGCGGCGGGGGACACGTTTCCTCAAACGCGCTCTACTGCGCTGCTGCCTTGCCGTCACCTCCCCGGCGGGGGAGGCCTCTCAGCCAGGGGCCGGGGCCTGCGGCCTTGTCACTGCCCGTCCCTGCTCTGTCGCCCCCCCTCGCTCTTACCCGAGTTGTCACGGCCTGAGTGGAGAAACCACTGGGATTTCCTTGCTTAAAATGTGGTGTTGTCACTGATAAGCCCCGTGTGCCCAGCTTAATGTGAGCAGGCACCTGCCTCTGCGCAGAGACACGACCTGTCTCCTAGGGCCTGCTCTGATTGCAGATGCAGAGCTGACCTCGATTCCTTATCGCTGCAGCACCCCCGGGCTATTGGCAGTGCCAGGATCATTTATTAGCCCCCAGCGTCCTGGTTACATTCAGACCTGGGTCACTCGTCCTTGAGCAAAGCAATGTAGTTCAGGTAGAAAGCAGGGTAGATCCACACCTTCGAGACTAACCAGAGGGAGTGTGTGCGTGCACAAAAGCTTCTGCCATATCTATATCTCCATTGTCAATAGAGATACAACACAAACTTTCACACACATACGCACATCTATATAGGTATAGCACAAGCTTTTGTGGGCCAAAGCTTACTTCATCAGATGCTGATCGTAGTACATCATCGCAGCATGCGATAAGGTGAGCTTCAGCCCATGAAAGCTTGTGTTTGTTTATATATGTGTGTGTATGTGTATATACACATGCACTTGTGTTTGTTTGTATACATATGTGTATATGTACGTGTACATATTTTGGTTTATCCATAAGGTGTAAATCTATCTTGCTCTCTTTCATACATCTTGTTTTCCAAAGTTTCCTACAACTTCAGGTTGATACAATTATTAGTCAACTTAACACTTTTTTATCTTTAGAACATTGTATGTGGTCCTCAGAGCACCCTGTCTGAAGCAGGTGGATAGGTATTATTCTGTCAAGTTTCAGGCTAGGACATTCATGAGGCAGATAGGATTTAATTTATTTAAGGCCACAGAAGAAGTCATTGACGAAATTGAGATTAGAATAGGTAATCTGTACTGGTTTTCTGTGCCCTTACTCTTTTTTTTTCTTCTCTTGCTGTAATTTCCCATTTTCAATAGTTTTGGCAGTGCACAGCACTACTATGCAAACTTCAGTCCTTGTCATGTCAGAGGTATCTCCTATTTAAACCAGTTCTTGGTCACAGGGAGAAAACAGTTGTTGAGAGGAATGGGAGTTTTATATTTTATTCAGGTTAATTAACTTTCCCATTGTTATTTCTTTTTCTAATTGAAGGTGAACATATTAAGAAGCCAGTTCCTCTTCAAGAGCAGACTGTTAGAGATGAAAAGGGGCGATACAAACGTTTTCATGGAGCTTTTACTGGTGGCTTCTCTGCTGGCTACTTCAACACCGTTGGTTCAAAAGAAGGTAAGATATTACTGGGCACATCTACACGAGACGTTAAATGTTCAGTAGCCCAATAATACTGCACAGTAACATGTCATGGCAGAAACAGTGCCAATATGCTAATGTGCAGCAGCATCACTAAAAAATGTGTGCACTGGCGCTACTGCGCTGTAACAAGTGCTGAACTTAATGTGCAGTAACTATGGTGCATTAATGAACGTGTAGACATGCCCACTGTGTCTGAAACTAGTTCCTTCTATGGAAGATTTTCAGCCTTGCTCTATTTTCAGAACATACAAACACTATTTTTTTTTCTGAAAATAAATGTAAACTGGTGTTACCTAACTTTTCTTTACTGTTGTCACCTGCAAATGGTAATACCACTCTGGTAAAGTAACCTTGAGCCTTTTACCCTCTGAATGCTTTGCCTGTAAGTGCAGAAATATTTTGTTGATGTAGCTTTACATGTAATCTTTCCTTGTTGCTTTCAAAGTTTATTATCATATGTGTGCTTAATTATTTGTTTCCTTTAAAGGATGGGCACCTTCAACTTTTTTATCCTCACGTCAGAAGAGAGCAGACAAAACAGCCTTTGGACCAGAAGATTTTATGGATGAAGAAGTAAGTTTAAAAAAATAACATACATTTCTTAGAACTGGGACTGGATGAATCTGGGATTTCCAAAAGTGTTTAAAGAAATTAAATGCTCAGCTTCCATTAAAAGTCAGTAGGAGTTGAACGCCTATCTCCTTTTAAACATCTTTTAAAACATAAAACACAGAGGCCTTACTTTTTCTTTTCAGTATGAATTAACAAAGGTGACTTTCACAAAGAAAAAACTATTTCCTATTAGAAATTTTCCATGATGTGGTTTTTTTTCTTCTTCAGGATCTTAGTGAATTTGGGATAGCACCTAAAGAAATTACGACAACAGATGACTTCGCTTCCAAAACCAAAGACAGAATAAAAGAGAAAGCTAGACAGATTGCAGGGGTAGCTGAACCCATCCCAGGAGCAAGTGTGCTGGATGATTTAATAGCACCTGCAAGGTGAGTAGATTAAAAAAATGCAATTCTGTATTGGCAAGGAAACATATCTGACTGCTACACTTAGTGTGACTTATTATATTATACATGTAATATAATATTCAAAGAGATCCACCTGGCTTGTTTTTGACGTGCAAATTTGTACTGCATATCATTTGTAGTTCTGTATGCAAGCTACATGGGCAAAAGATAATACTTGGAGAATTGTGTTTACAGAAAACTGTGCTATGAAAACCTGATCCATACTGTTATAAGTTTATCTTTTTTCCACTGTGAATATTTAAAAAAATCATCAGTATAAATTTTTGCTTTTACATTTTCTTGTAGAATAACAATTGGTGTTGAATTGTTGCGAAAAATGGGATGGAAAGAAGGACAAGGAGTTGGACCTCGAGTCAAGAGAAAGCCAAACAAGCAACAACCTGGTACGTTCAGTTAATTTTAACAATTTGAAAAACAGAAAATTGTACTCTCCTCTGTGTATTAAGATTATCTTTGTAACAACTTTTCATTTGCTCTAGTGTTTGTTTAACTGAGGCATAATTAATAAAGAATTATAGTGTAATATGGTGCTGTTGTGTTTTTACAGATCCTACAGTAAAAATATATGGCTGTGCATTACCACCTGGAGCGTCTGGATCTGAGGTATTGTGTAGGCAAAAGTTCTTGCTACTGGTATTTATATTTTTAAAAAAATTACTTGTACACTTGTAAGTAATATTTTTAGTAAAATGAGAGAAGGGTAGTTAGCCTGAAGTTAGGCACATGTCAGGGAAGGCTGGTACCTTAAAGACTAACTCATCAGAAAGGCATATGCTTTCAAAGGCTACAGCCTACTTCATGGACAGAATATTTCTAAATTGCTTAAGACTCCTTAACATAAACCTAATATACTTCTTTCACTAATTTGGCATCAGATGTTTAGGGAACTCTGAAAGTTTTCCAAATGTAGCATCGTCTTAAGTAAATTTTATCATGGAACAAATATTTGTAGTGCTGTATGGTTTTAAGGCAGACAAGGTTCCTTGGGTGAATTTGATATCTTTTATTAGACCAACCCAAATAGTATGGTTTTAAAGTACTTGTGTTTTGTAATGGACTTTTAATTTTCTAAAAGGGTGAAGAGGATGACTATCAGCCAGAGAATGTGACATTTGCACCCAGAGATGTAATGCCTGTTCAGTTGACTTTGAAAGAGAATGTTCATGGACTTGGTTACAAGGGTCTGGACCCTACCCTGGCCTTATTTGGGGTTTCAGGAGAACACATTAATCTTCTTGATGATGACTTTGAGAAGTCAAATAATCTGCTTGGTGATGTGAGGAATCGTAAAGGAAGAAAACTGGGTATCTCAGGCCAGGTAAAAGTGTTGCAGTGTTGTTGTATGTACTATTTTGCAGCATTGTTTAAAATAATTTTTCTCTCCCATACAAAAATAAAACAAAAGTTTTATTTTTGTAAGTATATTGAAAATGCAATTACCATTAATAACCATGTTTGTGCTAGTCTGTTTTCTCCTTTCTCAGACTCAGAGCACTGCGTAAACATAAATGAAACTTTGAAATGACTTTGAGAGGCAAGATGATAATTATAGTGGATTTAAAATGAGGCAACTGAAGTACAGGATGGGAAAGTGATTTAACTAGGCAAGTAAAAAAGCCAAGTTAAATTCAAGATTCAGATATAGTTGGATTTTTTTTGGTTGAAGGAGATAACTATCAGGTTTTTTGCATTATTACAATAGTTATTTTGTGTAGGAAAGGGAAATTAAAATATTTTTACACCCTTACCTTTTCTTCATTGTTGGTATTCAGGAAGTTACAGGAGAACCCCCAAGGGCCAAACCTGGTACTTCCTAGTGTGTCCTTGGGCTAGACTTTTACTCAAAACAATTGAAATTTGTGCCGTAAATGGAGATAATTGTATTGTTACAGTGCTATTCTATGTTACTCCACTCAGACTTTAGGTTGTATTGGTTAGTTTTAGAAAGCTTATCTTGCTGCTTACAAGAAACGGGGTCAAACATACCTCTAACTCAAGTGTCGCCAGTCCCTCACTGTTTGGGCAACGGGAGAACATGTTTGCTTTTAGACTGTAGGTCTCCATTTTGGCAATAGTGTAAGCCACTGAGCTGGTCTCAAGAGTGTAGTTTAATTTCAACCAGAGAGTATGCCTGCCTAGATGTGTGCTGTTGCATGACTTTTTAAAGACAGAGCAGTTCATTTGAAGTTCTCAGATTCTAATGATTTTAAACCGGAAATCTTGTTTTTAAGGCTTTTGGCGTAGGAGCTTTAGAAGACGATGATGATGATATCTATGCTACTGAAAAATTGTCCAAATATGATACCGTTCTAAAAGACGAGGAACCTGGAGATGGACTGTATGGCTGGACTGCACCAAACCAATATAAAAACAAGAAAAGTAAGAATAAAGAGAATCCGAATTAAGTTTAACTCTGTAGGAATGAATATGATAATACTCATCTCTACTTCCCAAGTCTGATAAGGATTGTTATTTTCTAGCCCTGCAATCTGATCACTTTATCTAACCTCTTCCTTTACTAGAAGTTCAAAAATATATTTTACAGTAAAAGCTCCGTTGACCGGCACCTTACAAGCCGGCATGCTCTATTAACTGGCATGCTGGCTTGTAATGTAAAGTAAAACCAGAAGTGCCCACCGTGGTACTTCCAGTTCTTTCGAGCCCCCACGGCCCGGGGCAAAGCAGGCTGCGCCGGGCCCACGGGAGTGTCGGCAATGCTGTGGGAGGGGGCAGCGATGCCCTGGATGCGGTGAGAGAAGTGGCGATCCGAACAGTCAAGGACGCCTGTTCGGGCCACTCAATTAACCAGCATATTTTGTTATCCAGTATCCCCCGTTCCCAGGGGATGCCAGATAACAGAGCTTTTACTGTAAATGAAAACCTCAGTTCAGTTAGAAAATGTGTTTTCAGATAAATATGCTACAGCAGGAGAAGTACTAAATGAAAAACACCTTCACAATGAAAATGCAGAAAAACATTGCTCATTTCAAAGTTGTATGACATATGTCAATAATAAGTATTACGTGCCAAAATTTTGCCAAAAGAACACAAAGGTTGCAAAATCGTGTTAGGAAACACTAGAATTTAGATTGCCTCTGCAACCTTATTTCAGTTGCCTTGCATGTATGCATTATGATAAAATCTTTAATAATATAATCACATACTTAATGTTGTGCATTAAAGAACTCCGCTGTAGGATAGTACTTGTAAATACAAGTAGTAACCTGTGGCGGAGTTGATTAGTTTCCTGTGGCTTAATAGAGCTGCATGTGTGGACATTGAGACTTTACTGCAAAGCTGATTAGGCAGCTCCACAGTAAACATCTTGTGTAGATGTGCCCAGTATGTAGTGTGAACAGAGATCTTTTAGAAGCTTTGAAGTTGGCCCTAACCACTAGCATGCCAAAATTCAAGCCCCTGCTCTGAAGCATGAGGTGACAGAACTTCTCAACCAAATGATTATGAGATTTAAAAAAAAAAAAAAGAAGGGCTAGACTTAGTTTTTCTGTGTTCTCATTTTTGGAAACAGGTCTTTTAGCCACTTTCTTTCAAACACATTCATCCTGGGTTGGGCATTTGGCATAGAGAATTTTATCCAGAACGGTTTACGTTTAGCAAACCTAAACTCTTGTTTTTAATGAAAGTGTCAACTTTTAACTGCTTATAAAAACTAAAATGTGAAACTACATAAATGTACAGCTAAAAATTGCCACCAAAGGTGGTTGCTATAAGAGAGTAATAATGAATGGGACTCTTATGATGGCATCCATTCATCAGCAAGTGATGGTGGATATTGCAGTTATTCTTTTGACTGGTGGCGCATTTTCTCTTGTGGCTATAAAGACTGATGTTAAATTTGCAGATCCTGCCACAGTGGTCACAGGTGTACATGGTATTAGGGGCTACTGTACTGATAGGCTGTTTCCTTCAGTCATATTTCTGTTGCAATTTGAGTGACCATTTCTTGTTATGATGTTGGACTCTATGATAGAGAAGGGAGTGCCACTTTGTTCTGTCTCCTAAGACCTCCCAAAGATTTGGGTTGATTCCAAAGCCTTTATATGCTGCTTGCAGACATCTTTGAAGTACAGTTTTGGGTTCCCTACTCTCCCCACCTGCGATTTGCCCATACAGGATGTCATTTGGGATATGCCCATCTTCCAACCTGTGAAGATGGCCAAGTCGGCATAGGTGCTGCTGTTCGAGTAGTGTAGCAATGGTTGGCTTTGGCGATGGCCTCTGTGTTGGTAATTCTTCCTGCCACTTCATGTTAAGGATGCACTGTAAACAGCACAGGTAGAAGCTGTTCAGCTTCTTTTCTTGATATACGTATGTTGACCATGTCTCATTGCTATACATAAAGACACTGAGGACGCAGACTTTGTACACAAGCAATTTAGTTTCGATTGTGAGTTTTGTTCTAGACCAGGGGTCAGCAGTGTTTTTGGGCAGAGTGCCAAGAACACCCACAAACTTGACTTGTAAGATGTTGGTGTAGCTAGGGCCCAATCCTTATTGTGGCAGCACTGTTCTGACCCCTTCCCCACCATCTACCCGAGGTGTATGTGCCGTGCAAGATGCCTTTGTATGCCACACTCTGGTACCCGTGCCAGGAGTTGCTTACTCCTGTTCTAGACTTGTTTGGAGAGCTTGCTGAAAGTGGTAGCTGGCTTTTCAATGTGCATATTTAGCTCTTCATCCAGTAATAGGTTGTCACTCACTGTGGATCCAACATACCAGAACTTGTTCACTGCCTCAAGAAGTGTGTTGTCAAAACTGATAGATGGTGACTTTTGTCTTGGCCTTTAGATATGATGGATTGTAGAGTTTGCCATCTGATCTTGTGTGAAGGTATATGCCTTCCTTCAAGCCATCAAAAGTGTAGTGCAGCTACATAGAGAAGATCCCGAAGAGTGTGGGTGCCAGAACACAACCCTGCTTCACTCCACTCTTCATCTCAAACCTGTCAGAGGTTGATCCATCAAACTGAACTGTGGCTTGCATGTTTTCATGGAAGGAGTGCACCATGCAGAGTAATCTTGAGGGGCATCTAGTCTTTACCAGGACCTTGAACAAACCTGCTCTGCTGATGGGGTCGAAGGCTTTTATCAGGTCAACACGTACTACATACAGTGGCTTATTTTGTTCTCTTTATTTTCCTTGCAGTTGGCATAAGGAGCATATATCCACTTATCTCCCTGCTCTGAATCCACACTGTGATTCTGGGTAGATGTGATCAGCAAGTTTTTGCAAGCATTTCAAGATGACTCTGGCAAAAAAGCCTTGCCTGTGATGCTGAGAAAAGAGATGTCCCTATAGTTGTAGCAGTTACCCTTGTCTCCCTTTTTCTTGTAGAGAGTGATGATGTTAGCATCACACGTGTCCTGGGGTACTTGACCTTCCTTCCAGCAGTACACTAGGAGTTGATAAAGATGTGGTAGCAGGCTAGCCTTCCTGTACTTGAGAACCTCAGCTGAGATGCCATCCTCCCCTGGTGCTTTTTTGCTTGCTAGAGAGTCTATGGCCTTGCTAAATTGTTGGGCTGTAAGCTGCTGGTTCTTTGTCTAGCTGTGCCAGTACACTTAGAGTTGGAAGTTGATCTAGTGCCTCTTCTGAAATGTCTGTTTCATGGGAGTAAAGCTCTAGCTCTTATACAGGAGGGCTAATATCTGTAGGGGAAGGTGGTCCTTTAGCGCACACATACATATGCTCTAGAGGTGGGGCGGGGTAGAGGGGCGCTTTAACTAGAGCGGCTCCAAGAGCCGCTTTAATTAAGATGCCATAGTGTCTTGTGTATTAGTGTTCAAAATGGCAGCGGGGGTGCTTGAACTAAAGCTTATTCGACAAGCTTTAGTTTAAGTGCCCCTGCCACCACTTTGAAGTGCGGGAATGCTGATGCACGAGATGCGGGAGGCTGCTGGAGCATGGTAATTACAACATGCCAGCAGACTCCGTTAATCGATTAATCGCATTTGTTCTGACACATTGTAATTGCAGCATGTCGAAGCAGTTTCCCAGCGTGTCTACAGGCACTCGTAGTGTTTGGTGTTTGCTGCTCTTGGAGTTGCCCAAAAACCCCGCCTAGACACAAACAGAACCTGAGAGCTGTTTAGAAATGCCGAATTTAAACAAAAAACCAGGACACTGTTCTCTGAAACAGCATCCTTTAATCCTAGTATCTTTTGACATTTTCATTAAAAAAGTCTTATGATGTTGGCTTTGAAAATGCTGAGTAACATTATCCTCATTTAATAGGATTAGAAGCTGAAGTAAAATATATTGGCAAAATTCTGGATGGCTTTTCTTTAGCATCTAAGTCGGCAGCTCCAAGCAAGGTAAGTAAACCAGGTTTTGTTTTTTGGGGTTTTCTTAGATAGATTAGCTAATCTAATCTTTTCTCTATTGCATGTTCAAATGCAATTAATAGTCTTGTCCACGTCAATAGTAATTATATGGCATATGCAACAAAAATGCAAAGAATTCCAATGTAGTACCAAAGAGGGATACAAAGTTTAACAGCAAGTCCTCTTGTTATTACTGTATCCTAATGCCTTCCAATATATTGTAATAGGAATAGGCAAGCAGCAAAACCCCCCAGAACAACCAGGACTAAAGTTTTTTCAGACTGTTAATGTGAACCTGAAATTTGTCCAGTCACTGGACTTGGTAGATGTTTTTCAACTTGCTCCCTGAGCCTGACAGCTATTTTTACAGTTGGGTTGATTTAACCTAAAGGAACAGTTTACATATTCTATGTCTTTCAAACATAGCATCATGTTTTCTCAGTAGTCAAGACACCTTTTTCCCCCCCCTTCTCCTCCTCCCCCCACAATCAACTTATTCTGCCAGTAACAAATTAATTTAGTGCTTAAACCCTGCTTTTGGGACTTCATTTTAAATGCAAGCTATATTGATATAAGTGTAGAATGGGCTAGTTCAGGCGTAAAGAATGTAATATTTTTCCTAAAGAACAGAGGACAAGAAAAATCTCCTGAATATAGTTTTGCAGTTGGAGGTATCTTCTTATTCAAGGATATTACTATGGGAGAGAGAAAAATAGGGTTTAAGTGGAGCAACTGAAGGTGTTTGAGAAGCCACAAGATACCTATTGCATTTTTAAATATATCAAAATGCACATGATTAAAGAAGGTGAAATAGCTATTATGCAATATTCAAAATATTTTTCTTGAATTAAAGTTGAAAGCTGCACATGCTCGCTAACTTCTTACAACTCCTGTTAATCTTTAAGGTGTTACCCTGCCATGACTTCTACCTGATTTCAGACTAACATGGCTGACTACCTCTCTTAACTCCTGTTAATTTTTGATTTGGTGTAATTTTTATACGTTGACAATTCAGTAACTATTTTTTCCAAATTTAAACATGTTTGTATATTACAATACAATTGATTTATTGACTCAGATTAACTGATACTGTACAGTTAATACTGTACATGTATAAAACTGATACTCTACATCTTTCCTTTCTATTGTTAAATTATATAAGATAAACTGACAGTGGTCAGTATGTTTTCTATTTGTTCTGGAAGACTTATCCACCACCTGACCTGCCAAGGGGTTACAGACCAGTCCATTACTTTCGACCTGTGATAACAGCTAGCAGTGAAAACTCCCCCTTACTGAAGGCATTGGTGGAATCTACTGGAAAGCTTGAGAGTGATACAGCACAGCAAAGCAGGCATACGCTGAATGCATCTCAGAGGAGGGACTTGTTAGGAGAAACTGCTCTAAAAGGTACATATGTGATGATACAATTCCTGTTTCATCACAGTAATTTTAGATTTTCTTACCTCTGACTAGACTGTAAGTTTGAATATACTTCGTATGGTCTTGAACATGTATTTTAATTAAAAATGAAATTAAAGACACAGATTGTATTAACCAAAATACCTTTCACAATCTGGCAGATTTAACTCCCAAATATAATTTATTGTGCATGTGCTCAAGATGCAACTCGTGTGTGTGTGTGTGTGTAACACACACACACACTAGCCAATTGTCCATCAAGAATGACAGGGGGTGGAGGGGCTGGGATGGAGTGCCGCCACCTAACACCCCATGCTGCCACTGTTCTGCCTCTTACAGGGAGTGGGGTGGGAGCGCTTGCCTTGGCTCCCCCACGCCCTGTCCGATCCTTGGCGTGGCTTCGGAATAATGGCAGCACTCCCCCATGCTTGGAGCACTCTGGCTGTTTCTGTCAGCCAATCAGAGTGCAAATAAAGCATTACAGACAGACTGACAGGCTTAAGCTTTTGTAATATTAGATTATTTTTTAATTTTCTTTTTACAGTTTAATGTGAATATATATAATATACAAAGTAAAACTTTGCAGTAAAGGTTACTTTTCAAGTAAGCCACTTCCTGTATTTAAAAGGTCATTTAAAACATCCCTTTGAGATTTTCTGCATAATATAAGCATATAATATTAACGATTAGACCACAGATTTTTCACTGATTATTTGTGTTTTCTGTGAATGTCTATACAAAAATCCTCTACATATGAATGGTTTTGTTTAGACAGGGAATAATACCAATGTGTAGTATATTTTTATTCATGATGGTAGAGTTTCAAATACTTCTCCTTTCCATTTATTTTCCATTGCTCTTTCTTTGTTCAGGTCCAGCTCCTTCTGTTTTAGAGTATCTGTCAGAGAAAGACAGAGAGAGAATCAGAGAAGCAAAACAAGCATCTGAACAACAACTGAAAACAAAACCATTGCCTCAGCAGTCCATACATAGTAGATTTCAGTCAGCTTGCCAAGAAAGCGCTCATCAGAAATGGCAAATGGCATTGGGGGAGCCGTTAGCAACTGCTGGCTCTAGTGACTTCAAACCATTTGCAAAAAATCCAGAAAAACAGAAGCGCTATGAAAACTATGTAGAGAGCCTTAAAAAAGGACAAAAAGGTAACTAACAAATGGTCATGACCTTTCTGCACAATTTTTTGTGGGGAATAACTATTTCTAAAATTTTCAACTGTTAGGGCCCTAACAAACAAATTCTGCTTACTGAATGCCATGGCACTTTCCTTTTGTCTACTTTACAAATTGGTGTATGTGAAATTCCATCTGTGGGACAGCTACAAATTTAGGTGCTTGAAGAGCCTTGCTGATATGCATCGGAGTTTCTCTTATCGTATCCTAATGTAGTTCACAACTTCATAGGCCATACAATGCTCTTACAGTCTTTTAAATTACATCCCTCTTTTAATTACATTAGCTTTGTCCTAACTGTTTTTTAATACTAATCTTTCTTTTGTAATCAGACCTTGTTGTTCTGAGCACAAAGGGATCAAATTCCACAGGAGTGTTGCATTAGCCTTTTGTTGGAATATGTTTTGTTCCTTACAACCACAGAGAATTCTCAGTTACAAAAATTTCTTGATTATTTTCAAGGATTTCTTTTTCTTCTGTGATGTTCAGGCAATTAATGACATCTTCCCTCCTACTGTGCAAGTGTATCAGGAAAACGGAGCAGTTGTATTTGGCTTTAGCAGTTAATCTCCATGTCTCTGGACCTCAACATCTGTGAAGTTTTCCAGGAAACTCAGCTAAACAGCCAACATATTTGGGTTCTCTTGCTTCCCTTTTACAGTCTTGATTTCAACCCTGTATGGTTATCTGTATTCATTCATTGAGCTGGTACTTTAATCAAATTGGCTTCCATTGGTGGGGTCCTGGAGAGTAAGAGGCAGATTCCAACAAAGCAGAAAGAAACCAAACAAATGGTAGATGCCGATAGTGTGGTGCACTGTTTTTCTAGTTCAGTGGTTCTCAACCTTTTCAGTTGGGTCACCCTCCCTAACTTTTCTGAATGTGGTGGTACCTTTGGTTGAGAACCAAAGTTGTGCTTGACTTATCTCAGTTCTTCTTAATTTGGTGATGTTGCCTCCAGATGAAGTTGCCTCGTGTGTGGTATGTACAGCCAGACTGGGAAGCATGTGCATATGATCCTCTTGCATTATGCTTCTCTGATGATAACCCTAAAGTGGGCAGGAGGGGAAGCTCAGCTGCAGACCTTTCTGGTCCAACCCCATATATAGTGTCTTATGGAGAGAGGTGTCTGGGACAGGTGGAACTGTCCCATGTGCCTCTGTTTCTGGGAGGAGTGTGGTTGTGGGGGCTGGACTGGGAAGAGCTGTAGTCCAAGCCAGCTGTCATGCCTGCTTTAGGATTATTGCATTTCTCTTGTATTGTGTGCTGCAGCCCTGTGTGTGGGGCAGTTTTACCTGAATGCCATTGCTGCAGCACCTGCATTACAGTACCATGGGGTGCTGCAATACCTCAACTAAGAACCAATTTTCTAGTTTAATTATCTTGTTGGGATAAATGGATCTGTCTTTTAATCTTTAGTTTATCTACTCGGAGCATGGCTATTACTTTGTAAAATAGAACTCTCCTCTTAAATACATTATTGGTAGAATAAGATGAAAATGTAGGAAATCTTAAAATAACTTCAAAGGTCAAGAACCTCACATTGGAAAATCATCTGGCTTTTTGATTGGCTTGTCTTTCCTCTAGAAGCAAATGGGAGCCAAAATATGTTCCTTGTAAACACTGTGGAACCAGGGAAAGAAACAGTTTACCTTAAGAGTTTTTCTGTATTTATTACTGTACATATTTTAGGGATCAAAATGTCAATTTGAGAACCCAAATGGAAATCTAAACCTTCTAACAGATTTGTAGATTGTTTTCAGGATTTTTCTTTTTCTTTTTTTCTTTTCTTTTTTATTTTTTTTGGAGTTTGCCATGTGTTTTAAGGGGCAAGAAAAAAACATCAATAGTACAGAGATTAATTAGGTAAATAGAATGCGAATATTATCGTTTTGGACAATCATTCCTCGTCTCTGCGGAGAATGGAATTAACCAGGGACTACTCGCGCTTCCCAAGTTCATAGCATTTTTAATACTCAAGTACACATTCATTGGACACTTACAGAGATGGGATTAGATTAGATATTAATCTAACTTTTGGAATCGTTTGAAAGAATCACAAAATGAATTAAACACACACAAAATTTATTGTATTTTAAAGTAATTCTAAAGGGCTGCTAAGCATTTCTCTTTCTTAACTTGTAGTAGATACTCTGGTGAGTTGTTTAGACCCAAGCATGACAGAATGGGAGCAAGGAAGGGAGCAGGAAGAATTCTTTCGTGCAGCAATGTTCTACAAATCCTCCAACTCAACCCTGTCATCTAGGTTTACCCGAGCCAAGTATGAAGATGACACTGAAAAAGTAGAAGTTCCTCGAGACCAAGAGGTATGTGCTATTTATGACTTGCAGTAATCCTGAGTCATTTAACACTGCCAGGAACATACGGTTTCTTTAAAGCATCTTTTGTAGGATAAACAATGTAAATACTCTTCTGTTGCCCTGCATTTCTTTTGGTATTTAGAAACAAAATATTGTATATAAAGTAATGTTCTGATAACAGTAGTTAAGCATTTATTTTTTGGGCGTGTTTTTATCTTGCTAGAATTACAGCATACCAACAGCAATAGCAAGCACTTCAAGAAGCTCATATTCCTCTAGAAAATAAAAATATCTAATTTTTACAGAATGATATTGATGACAAAGAATCTGCTGTGAAAATGAAGATGTTTGGCAAGCTCACAAGAGATAAGTTTGAGTGGCATCCTGAGAAGCTGCTGTGTAAAAGATTTAATGTTCCTGATCCCTATTCTGAGTAAGATGATAAATCAAAGATCTTAATACTTTCAAAATACTATTTTTTTTAATTACTTCATAATTTTTGAGGGAAATGTTGGATTGACATTTCTGGAGACTATATTCCTTTCTTTGTTCTCAGATTAGATGCTGCAAAGCATTCTTTTTAACTAAACTAGAAGGACTCCTCTGGGGACAGGCCTATTAGGGAGAATTATTTTAAATTGTTTTAAATAATCCCAACAGACAGGGTAACATGTATGTGCTCTATTTGTTCTGTGGATAATTGGAGATTCCAGAGTTGTCTGTTGATCCATTCATTACAATAATGACTAACAAACCGTTTAATTTTCCTCCAGTTCATCTATTGTTGGGTTACCCAAAGTGAAGCGTGACAAGTATTCTATATTCAATTTCTTAACTCTACCGGAGACCGCTACAACAACTGTAACTCAAACAACAAATGAAAAAATGCAACAGACTACCAATCCTAACAGTAAGTGAGATATTTTATTCCTATAACTCTAATACTTAATAATATAAATACTGACATTTTCATTGTGGACTATCCATACCAAGATTAATTTCCAATAAACAAAGAAAAAATATTTTCAAAAGCTTCCTAATTTAGATGTAACCATAGGGCCAGATCAATGACTTGAGTTGGGATTGTATTTAATTTAAATCATCTGGATATAAAGGTTAATATAGATATTTTTGTTTTTAACTTAAAAAAAATATAAGTGGTAATGAGGGAGCAAGTACTATGAAATGATTAAACAGACCACAAAATGAAGCAGTATTTTTAATATGGAACTAACCTGGATGCTGGTAAACTTCTTCTATATTTTAGAGCCAAAGAAACCATCAAGATGGGATGTATCTGACAAAGAGAAAAAGAAAAAGGATTCCATCAGTGAGTTTATTAGTCTTGCTAGATCAAAAGTTGATGTTCAGCAGCAACAAGAACCAGCAACAGAGAAAGACAAAAGCAGAACAAATGAAGCTCTTCCTAATAAGGTAGCAAATTTTCACAAAGTTTGACATTTTCAGTTATGTTTATATTTATCCTTCTTGTTGTTGACATCTTTTCCTATAGCTGTGCTTTATGTTCTGAAGTACCCTTCATTTTGAGAGCCAATGATATTAAAATAGTAGTGCCACACAAGCAACATGGAGAAGAAGGATGATGGGTCTATATTTGGGTGCAACTATATGGAAGTGCATATAGTACATTCCTTTGTATTTTACCTACATAGTACCTCCTTGGGACTCCACATGTTTCAGGCGCTACAAATACACAGACCTCGTTTCATAACAGCATTGTATATACACAAATACACACCAGTTCCTGGGGCTGTAACAGACTTACTCAGGTTCATGTTTTCTGAGCTTAAGCGCTGATGGGCCAGGGATAGTGGCATGCAAAGTCCTGCTCAACATTGTTCATGTAGCATCATGTTATCAAGAAGGGAAAGTCAGAAAACAAAGTCAAGGAACCAGGCTTTTCTGGATGACATCCTGTGGATCTTGGAATTCTAGGAATCCATTTTCTGGTCATGGATAAATAGAAGGTGAACTGCACTTTCCCTCTGACCAGCAGGAAATTGGGGAAAGTACAGTTGCATAGTTCCCCCTAGAACAATGAAAAAGAAACTCTAAGTTTCCATTCCCTTATGGGAGAAGCAAATTTGAGATTATTAGAGATTCTGGGAAATTGACTTGAAAGTACAGAGTGTTGAAACTTCGCATTTTTTACTTTCTCTTTGCTCTAGATAAATGATTATTTCAGTATCTGTGATTCTCAGCTGTGGTCCATGGACTGCCAATTTGTAAAGATGAGGCTAATTTCTAGATGACTGAAAACATAACACATTTCATGAAAGATATATAGGTGCCACAATATAGGCTTCCGTCCCATCCAGGAGAGCACGTAACTGCAGATGCTCCCTCTGTCTAAAGAAGGGTGTTTGTACCTTAAAGCTTGCAAAGAAGATTTTTTCTGGCTATTCCAGTTGGTCTAATAAAAGATATCAGATTTACCCAAAGAACTTTGTCTACCTAGTTGCCACAAAGACTCTTAATTGAATAATGAGTTGGAGGGTAGTCTTGATAACTGGAAATAAGAGAAGAAGTGGTACAAGTTGTGAGGGTTTGGTAATCTTTGTCCTATATGGGAAAAATTCAAAGCTCATGTTGAGATAAATGTTGTTGAAGTAATTCATTTTGTTTTATTGAAAAGGCAAACAGAGTAATCTGATCAATGTGAAATTTTGCTTGAATGTGGTCTAAATATTAATTAGGAAATTAATTTGAACTCTGTAGCTATTGTTTGATAAATTGCTGCTATATTCAGTAACTTTGTGGAGACCTTCTGTAGATAACCCCTAGAGCTTCCCATGTTTGTATCAAACTACCCTTTTATTTGAGTTATACAAAATCAGACATTCCAATGGAAGCCGTTTGAAAAGTTGACCCTGTTAGTGAAATAGCTTCAGTAGTGAAAAGTTACTGTTTTTGGTTTAGTTATTTTGTTTTCTTTAGCTAAAATGGATTAACAAATATCAAATAAAATCTTAGTTTATGCACTTACGTTACACCTTGTTAGACCTAGCCCAAATTTTTATGGGTGAGCACCATTTGGGGAATCTATGCAAGTCCCTCTGCTCCATGCCAGCAATGACCTTGGAGCAAACTAGAAGAGAGGTGGAGAGGCCATATAGATTTTTCTATGTTGAATTGTTATGAAGACTACATTGACTCAACACACTTTGGTGCAGGAGGAAGTGTAGAATTTGCACTTACCTGAATTGTGGTTTATTACTCGTATACAAGTGGCATGTCTATGTGAGATGGTTACTGTGGAGTAGACTAATTAGCTCTGCAGTAAACATCTTGGCATCTACACATGCAAGGCTATTAGGCTGGAGTAAACTAATAAACTCCACAGCAGGGTAGTACCTGTAAATGCAAATACTACCCTGCTGTGTAGTTTTTCACCCTGCAGCACCACATGTAGACACTGATGTGGCTGGCTGAGAGCGCTTCAGCATAGGGGCTGCCTGCTGGCTAGCCCTGCACTGGAGTACACAAATGCCCCAGCCCTTCCATAGTATATTGAGTGGGGTCAGAGCAGCCCCAGGCTGGTAAACTGACCCCTGGGCCCTCTGCAAGCCTGGGCTGCGCCGACCCAGCTTAGCATATTGTGGTCCCAGGCGCATGTGTAAGCACAGCGATTTATGTCCCAGAACTTATTGCATTGTATTAATACGCACATGTGGATGCGCCCAAGGACAGCAAGTATAGTGTGGAATAGTGGCTGTAAAACCTATGATGCCAGCAGGTGGGGCTGAATGAGTCCAGCAGGTGGGGTTGAATTCCATCTGGTTTCCCCGCTGAGTTCCATGGATAGAATTTGCTTTTACTCTGCTTTGAACGGGGAAAGAGGCGCATTCTGAAGAGGGTTTTTTCTTTCACTTAAGTTCACCACAAGCAATTACACTTACATTTTATTTTCAAGTCAGACTCTATTAGTATTTCACTTTATTGCAAGTGATCTGTTCAAACTATATAGAAAAGCATACCTTATATTGTTTGTTTTTTATTGGAAAGGAGTTTAACTCTGGGTTTTAAAATGTTGGGTCAAGAGTTTTTGAGTTTATGGACTTCAGTTTCATAGTGAAATTTGATGGTTCTAATATCCTAATAAAGCTTCTGTTAAAGATGTTGAAATCATTTGTTTAATTTAATAGAGATGGACTTTTTTTTTCCCCCCTCCTGAGTGCTTAAATCCTTTCATTATGGTACTGTTATGCAGGTAGTTAATGAAAGTGTGGATCAGAAAGAAGAAGAAGAAAGCAGACCATCCATGGATTTATTTAAAGCTGTCTTTGCCAGTTCCTCAGATGAAAAATCATCCTCTTCTGAGGAAGAAAGTGATGAAGAAGAGCATCAAACAGCTGCTGCAGGGCCAGCCTCAGAAAGTACTAAGTGTGCTGATCCACCAGATAACTCGTCTGCTGTACAAGGTGGTACTTAATAGTTTGCTTCAGAATTATGAAATTCATTAAGTAACATTCATGCATGAACCTCTAGTAATTTTATTTAGACATTAATAAAATTTGGTCTGGTTGAAGTATGATTTTCTTCAATTTTAAATTGACTGGCATAATCCCACCAGTGTGCAGGGAGTCAGTCCAAGATAAATCTGTGCTGAATCATGCCTTATCCGTATAGACATTACCTACTTTACCATAGGCCCTGCATAGTTTTTAGAGAGACATTATCAAAGACCTCTGTTTCCTAAACAGAGTGATAGATGACCACATTTCCCTTATTTCTCTGTAAGGAATGTCAGCATCAGTGACTGAATTAAGGTGCAAAATAAATGGTACAGTATAACTATTTAGTGATGGAACTTTGACAGGATTGAAAATAAGTAGAAGTTGAATTTATTTGAAAAATATATTCACTTAATATAATGGCAAAATATATTTTGCCCTGTTGTTTAAAAATACATCTCTTGCTATTTTTTATTACTGGTCCATACATATAGCACCAAAAACAAATGGAGGTGAAGGAGAAAGTAATGTTCTCCCTTGCTAATGAGTAAAAATGGATAGTGGAATATTGTAGTGAGTTTTTTTTCCTGTTTTTAAGGTTGACATTGACAGAATTTATTACAGTATATTGAGTAGCTTACCATGAAGTAGCTTGAAGTTTAGTAACGGCTTGTTTGTTGTTCTGGACATGTTGGGATGCTGTATTTCAGCAATTTTTACTGACGTCTGTTTACTTGCTGATTTGAAAAATGTGTTAATATGCACTAGGTCTCAGCCATTAGTGTCAACAATCTAATTAGTACAAATGAAATGACAAATTGCTAACTAAAAAGTTGTACCCCATAAACTTTAATTAGTTTTAGTTCCATACAAAAAAGACTGATTCATTTTTTTTTTTTAAGTGTAAATTTCCTGCACGGACAAGTACAAAGTTATCATTTAGGATCTGACCAGGCATAGATGTAATTTAGCACTGGAATTTTGGAATTAAGGTAGATTTGTTATTTTCTTAGACCATGCAGTGGTTACACCTGAGCCAGATCTTCCTATGCCATCTGCTTTAAAGGAGAAGCTAGATGAAAGGGAATTTGGCCCGAGATTGCCTCCAGTTTTCTCTTCTGGTGAGTACTGAAGACCTTGAACATGTAAATTCTGTATGCTGAAAACATTTACAAGATATATTTTATTTAAGTTTTTAAAGCTGTATTTCCAAGTACAGATTGCATCTTCATTTAGGTGTTGTACAGACAGATACAACTGAATGTTACAGGGTTGAAACCTGTTTTTTAAGCCTTAGTCCATACTGGCAGAATGTTTTGTTTGGGGGTTTTTTTGGACATTCATGGTGTGGGCTTGTGTGTGCTGATATCTGTGAAAAGGCTTGAGCTTGCATAGTTCTTGTTGTGAACTGGTGGAGAGTAAAGTAATGTAAAATAATGGTGGTAGTAAAATAATGGCTGTGACCTTTCATTCAGAATTCATATTTAACCTAACTATAATTTTACTTGTAAATTGCTATAAACATAGTGGCTGCTTACAGATATGAAAAAACAAACAAACAAACCAGTGTGATGGGTGTCACACCCCTTGACAGGTGCCCCGCCCCCTGGTCACCATCTTGGGACCAATGTCACAATGTCTTGGGACCAATGTCCCAGGGCCAGCACCGGTGGGGCCCAGAGTGGGGCACAGGCTGGCAGGGGTTTGTGGAACTGGGCTGGGCTGCACCAGCAGGGAGTGGGGAGCTGGCCCCGCTCCATAGAGCCTCTGTCAGCTGGGACCTCGTGCTCCTGCCACCCTGCTCTGCGCCCCACTGGCACTGGCCCCGGGACACCGGTGTGGGCCCTGTGCTCCCACTGGCTCCCCGCCCGCTCACTCCCAGTGCCCCCAAGTCCCATGGTACAGGCGGGGAGCAGCGCACAGCCCCAACACCCTGCTTGCCAGCAGGGAAGAAGCTGGTGCTGAGCGTGGGGAAAAGTGGCCCCTCGCCTGCCCTATGGCCGGCGCTCCCTGCTGCAGGCTTTTGCAGCCTGCTTGGGGCTGCCTGTACCTGCTCTGGGCAGCCCCGCATGGGCTGCAAACACCTGCAGTGCGGGGCGCCGGCCATGGGGGGCAGGGCCAGGCAGGCCCCACTGTTGTTGGAGCCTGCCAGGCTTCCCCTGGGTCCTACAGAGAAATATTAATTTTCTGTATTTTTTTAGGGGCCCCGCAGGCCGAATAGAATGGCCTTGTGGGTTGTATTTTGCCCATCCCTGATTTCAGCAATAGCTGATTCAATCAATTATTACATTTTAGCTATATGATCAGCTATTAGATTTTAGCTATTATTTTTCAATCATCTATTAGATGAAAGTGCCAAAAAGCCCTGCTGAAGCATGTGAGCTATACAAATGCCAGGGAGCTGGATCAAACTGGTGCAATTCCTCTCCTGGTAAAATGCTGGGGGGGCGGGTTGTTGTTTGTTTTTTCCCCATCTCTGTCAGCATCCAGTGTGTAGCTGTTATTTTCAACTTGTCTTTTTATACCTTTTTAGATTTTTGTGATTATGGTGGTGTATGCCTCTGTTCTTACCTGTTTAAATATGGAATAGATAAGAGACTATTTAAATCTCCCTTAAGAGTGTGGTAGTTAATCTGTAAACTCTGCACACAAGTTGTAGGTATTCTTGTGGCACATGATTTTAGTTAACATCTAGGTTGTTCTTGTCTTTTGCTGGGTAACGTACTTCGTTCTTTACATTTGATTTTCGCTTTAGATACTGTACAACAGCATGAGCCAGTACAGCTAACAAGTTTTTCTGAAGTGAATCAAAAAGAAAAACGTAAAAAGAACAAAGAAAAACACAAGACCAAGAGAGAGCACAAGCACAAAAAGGAGAAGGTGATCAATATTTTTAGTTCTTTGAACTGGTTTTCTCAGTTGAGCAAAACAAAATTCTATAATTTATGCTGAGGTGGGATTTTGGAGCACTCCTAGATGCCTTTTTGAAATCTCTAGCTTCAAACACAAAACATTTTGTTATCGGGGTGCTTCTCTCCCTTTAGAAGTTTAGGCATCATAGGCCTAAGTGTATTGTATGCTACAGAGATATGTGCTGAAGACTTTGAGATACAATATAATAATTAAAATAATCCACGATTTGAAGATAGACAAGGAATAATCAAGTTTCCCTTTCTTACTGAGGGAGGAGGAGGGAGAAAAGGGATTCTGCTTTCGAAGTAGCTGTTTGTTTTATGGAAACTGGGCATGACATCTCATTTAATAGTATCATGATCAAAGCAGTGTTAAAATAAAAAATGTTTTGATTTTTTTTTCCACATTTGCAGTATTTTACTCAGTGATTTAATGCACATTTAGAACTTTTTTCTTGCTTGCTGTTGTGTTGATTGTTATATATTTGCTGTGAAGTACTGGTTGAAAGATGAAGTTTTAAAAGTCAAAGCAAAAATAGCATTGGTATCCATCATTGGATTAACTTGCTGCAGATAGTGGCCAAAGGGGAAAATGTACATCTATGAAAATTAGTCACTCCAAATTAGCATATGAGAGGTCAACCAAGGGAAGCACCTTGGAAATTGGGGTAACAAAAGCCAATGTGGTAGGATTTTAAATAGTGTTCTTGCTTTTTTTTCTAGTGCTTGTCTTTGTTCTTTTTCAGGATGTTGATGTTATTTAATTTGCTTTCAAATTTGTTTCTGTACTCCTATTTAGATTAATAAGAAATAAATCTTCACTTTGTGTGCAGTCTGCTGAATCTGCAGAATTATGCTTCTTAATCTATTTATTTTGTTGTATTTGGTCTTTGCCTTCCAGAGAACTTGTGCTTGTATTGTTTAAAGTTTGCACAGGTGAAGATGTGCAAGAACCAGTATTTCGTGTGTTTCACTTAAATTTGGGATTACTTTCTGAAGTTACTGGAATAGCTTTCTTGAAAATGCAGTTGCTCTTTTTGCACTTCCATTTTAATTTGTCCCATTTTGTTAAGAAATATATGACTAACAGGGTCTCAATTCTTCTTTTTTAACAGAAAAAGAAACATAAGAAGCACAGACACAAAGGAAAACACAAGAATAAAAAATCAGAGAAAAACAGTAGCTCTGACACTGCTGAAAGCAGTGACAGCCTTAGTGATGCAGAGATGAATGTGGATTTATCACCCCACGAACTTCTAAGGAGGTAATAGATAACTTACTGAAACTCTTGCAAATCCAGCAACAACGCTAGGTAGAATCCTTACCTGATGTAAATAGATGTGGCTTCACTGAAGGCAGTAGAATTTACATCAGTTTGTACTACATGTGAATTAGGCACTGTGTGTTTGTGTAGAATATGGCTCAAGTTTGGCTAATCAGGTCAGTAAAGATAAATTATGTTTCGTTTCAGGATCTAGATGTGCCTGATAAAAACTAATTTTCAGGTAAAGTGCTCTAGGGAAAAGGGTTCTTGAACAGATAACTAGTTTCTTCTGAGTTAAAGAAGGTCATTTTGGACGAGATGATTTTTATATCCTTGTCCTATAAACGGAGTAGAAATTGAGCAGCTGAGCCTATTGCTAGCATGTTTTTTCAGAGGATGCAATCAAGATTAACAGCCTCAAAACCTATCTCTCCCTGGTGCCCAGTAGAATATGTTCTCAGTATCTGAGTCTGCTGCTGCAATCTTGCTGAAATCCTGTCTACTCAACTGAATAACTGCAATCCAGTGCATCCAGTTTGTCAGAGGTGGTCAGTGTTATACCCCTCTTCTTGCTAGTTCTGTTCTTGTGACCTGGCAAGTTACCAAAACTTCAGAGAAAATCATGCTTCAATAGAAGATTTTTGTAAGTTGGTATCTGCTGGTTCAAATATGAAACAACTACACAGACAGTGAGAACTTCTCGTATCATTTGCATGCCTGTTCAGCAAAACCAAAATTTAAATTGGTTGTCTAACTTTAGACATCTCTGCTCTCAAATATTTTTATACACTATAGGCTTTGAATACAGTAGTACCAGTAGCATAGAAATTAAGCCATAAAATACAGTTCTAAAACAACTCAAAATGGAAGTTGGTCTTGAACTGAATGTACTGTACTTCAGAGATTTGCTCAGTGGAGGTAATCCATCTGACCAAAGAACATGTTGTACAGAGTACCACCTTCACCCTCCATTGGTATAGGGAGCTCACTGTGGTATAGGTCCTTATTTGGAACAAAGGGATACAAATAGAAACTGGAATTCTCTTCCTTTCTTTTGCTCACCTTCCCTCCCAAAATATATTAGGAACATGTGAAAGCTTTATTAATTTGTTAGTATTTTAAATGAGAAAATGTATTTATTTTTTAAAAGTATTTTAAATGTTATTTTCTAAATAAGCAGCTAAAATTTGCTGCTGTGTCTGATTTTTTTGCACTAGAACTTGGGCTTCCTTGGGCAAACTGACATTTTGTAGGCCCTCAGATTTGCCTACAAATCTTGCATCTTTATTACAATTTTTGCATCTTTTGTTTAAATTTGATGTTTGAGAAACTCTGTAACTCTGTAATACATTTTCTGATTTTTTCTTTATAACTAATCAAAATGGTCTTTCTTTCAGGCTGAAAGACCTGCCAATAACGAAGAGGTAGTTTGCTGAAGTTGCTGTATGACTTGATCTCCTCCATGATGGTAGATCAAATATGTATATGTAGTGTATAGTTTGATGCACTGTAAATATTGTATTTATGTTGAATTGGTTTGAAAGCATAAATTTATACCTGTTTGTGTGATGCTTTGCAGTTTTAATCCATATAAATTATGGAATGCTGGAAAGACCCTTAGATTTTTTTGTGACTGCATTATCAACAGGAATAATGAAGTGTCTACATTTTAATTAAATGGGACTTAAGATATTTTAATAAACTGTGCATTACAAACGGTGTTTCTGGTACTTTAATCATTGTCTCAAAGTTCCAATTACCTACTGCAAACATAAACATAACTGACTTCTGAAGGAAGTGAAACTAGAAAGTGAGGTAGGCAGAATTTATAGAGAGAAATATACTCCATTCTCTATCCATATTGCAGATACTCAGAATGCAACATTTCCTATCACTTAGATATTGTATTCCTCAGCTTTTCAAAAATTGTCCATGTGTTTTAGAATTTTGTGTAGTAGATCATAATATGATTTCTTAAGTAAATAAATGACCTGTCATTCTGCATGATACACATTTTAAAATAGGATTATAGTACTGGATTGTCCAACATATGGCCTGCGGGCCAGATTTGGCCCACAGTCTCTCTAATCTGGACTGTTGGGCTATCAGAGGGCACTGAAAGTTGGGCCTTTGCCTCCATTGGGCATGGCCATCAGCAAACAGCTTGGCTTGCTGCCACCAGATCCCACACTCCTGCTGCCCCTGCCCCATCTGTACCCTGCACTGCCTCTGCTTCCATTGGACTCTGCACTACCTCTGCTTGTGCTGCTGCTGGACCCTGCACATCTGCTGCAACTGTGGGAGTCCATGCTCCCACCACAGTGGCCACTGCAGAAGCCCTCATGCCCTAGGTTAGATCCAGCCCACAAGGATCCCTGTGGTTCAGATCTGGCCTAGGGCCCCAGGGGTGCTTGACAAGCAAGGGTGTAGAGTATGCAACCACGGTATTTCTACAATATTCTACATTTTTTGTTTTATTTAACAAGATGACAATGTTGAAAACCCCAAAATGTCTTGGGAAACAATGATCTTCTCTTTACAAGTTTATATCTTTCCTTGCTGCGTACAGTAGCACTTAAATTTCAACTTTCTTTAATGTGTTAAAGTACAAAGAAGACTGAACTCGTAGGGTTGTTTATGATACAAACTATGAAATAATGCTAAGATATGTGATTGAATTCCATGAATAAAGCATTTTTTTAAAGCAGATCATACAAAATGAACATTCTTGCATTATTTTACTGTATTAGGAGACTAAAATAATATTCTCTATTTGCAATTGCAATTAAAAGAAAAAAATCCAATCTCAAGGTAGTATATTTTGTGGATAGTTAAAAGTAAAATAAATTTTTAGGATTCAGGCCACTTAAAGTGCTGTGGTCTGATGTTGATACTTAGGCTGTCATTTAACTTTAGAAATCAAAAAGGCACTTTAAAGATTTAAAGGGGGGGGATAAGGAGTACATGTGAATTAGAATTCTATCTACATTACAAGAATGGTAGAATGAAGAAGCAGCAGAATAAAAACCTTAATTTTAAAGCAACGCAAAACCCAATTAGTTAAGCACGTTAAAATTAAAGTGTTCTTGCTAGAATGCTAATACAGTGTTTAAAAAGTCATTGCAGCCATAAATCTCGTACAACTTCCTTTATATCCCACTGCTTATTAAAGGGTTGCCAGCAGTATAAAAATCACTGCTTCTGATTTTTTAAAAATCTACTAGTGACACCAATATTTTTTCAGCGAGATACAAATTGGAAGGATTAGACTGAAAATATTTTCTGTATTTTCAGTTTACGGTACCTTAGACAACATTTAGGAGCCATTTTCTCTGATTAGTCAGTTTTCCTGATTTTTGTTTGTGTGGCTCTTCATACAACAGTGGAAGAGGATTTTAAAAGAGAAAAGTTTTAGAATACAAAAACTCATAGAAACATTCAAGTAAGGTGTAGGCAGACAAGGTTCTTTGGATAAATCTGACATCCTTTATTAGACCAACTCAAATAGTTGGAAAAATTCTTCTTTGCAAACTTTCAGGTACAATTGAGGTGGTAATAGAATTTTTAACTTTTTTTTTTTTTGCTAGATGTATAATTGATTATATCCATTTAAATTCTTACCAAACCAGCTATTACACTTGTTAGCAGCTAGTTTGTAAATTAAGCAGGTCATTTTCAACGCTCCAAGAACAGACTAAGGAGTCTCAAACCTTTCTTCTCCCATGATCTGCTGATCAACTACAGGTTCCTGCCCTCAGTCCAGTCCTACACCTTATTGTTTATATTGTATTAAGTATAAGAAATACTCCAGGGCAAGGAGATAGGATGCTGGAAAGTGAAAGGAGCTAATAAAAAAGTAGTTAAATGCTCCTCTTCCCTCATGTCTGGAAAAGCATCACTTAAAGATGTCAGGCAGCAGGCAGTCTAGGTCAGGGGTGGGCAATTATTTGGACTGGAGGGCCACTTATGTTCAGTGAGCTATTGCAAGTGGGGAGCGGGGAGATGCAAGTAGTCCTATCTGGCCCCAGGCCATCTACCCTGTACCCACTGCAAGGGGCACTGGATGGAGTGACTGGGCGGGCAAGGTGTCCATGGACCAGCTGGGACCCCTGTAGGCAGGACATGCTCGGATGGGTTGTGGGTGGGCAGGGAGCGGCATCTGGGAGCAGGGCGGGTGGCTGGGGCTGGGTCCAGGATCACGGGGCCGTGCCAGCTTATGGCTGGGGCAGAGCTGTGATATACTGCTCCCCACCTACCCATAGCCCCATCCCATCCCTCCAGCTGAGCATGCCCTGCCTGCTGGGGTCGGCCCGGGCCGGACTGCATAGAGACCCCATCTGCCCACCCTTTCCATCAGGCACCCCCAGCGGTGCGGAGGGGGCGGGCTGGCAGCAGCAGCTGGGCAGAAAGTCAGGTTGCTGCGCTGACCCTGCCCTGCCCTGCGCCCGGGGGTGGCAGGACTGGCCCCTGGGCCTGGGCCTGGGCCTGGGCCTGGGCTGGGTGGGGCTGAGGCACCCAACAGGGGCCAGATGAAATCCTTTTGCCCACCCCGGTGTAGGCAGCGAGTTGAGCTTCACCAAAGCAGCACTGGAGAAGCCCTGGCGGAGACAGGGAAGCATGGAAAAAGCTTCCTTTTCCTTGAGTTTTCGCTCTGCTGAAGATTTAGAAGCCAGGCAGAGGGCTACGTTTTGGAGTCGGGGGAGGAGGGCTTTTGAGTGCGATTCCCTTGCCTTGGGCTGGGGACTAGGAGGCTGAGATGTCCCAACAGAAAAGGAGGAGGATGCCTTGGATTTGGGGGCCTGGAGAAGTGGGGCTGGACGAGACCTCCAGAGCTCATCTAGTCCTGCCCTTGCCGGGGGCAGGATTGGGATCCCCCTCATCCACACCGCCCTACGCAGATCCGTTGTGCAACCTCTCAGCAAAACGCCAGTGCCCCTGCCCTGCCCCGCGGGAGGGGCGAGGCTCTCGAGCCGGGAGCCCGCGGTTTTGGGCTTCGCCTCCCCGACTCCACAGCCTGGTTGCGGCTCCAGGCCTCGCCTGCCCTGACTCCTCAGTCCTTTGGGCTTGGAGCCCTGGGGCCGTGATCGGGGCAGGGCGGAGGCCAGGGCCAGGCGATGGCTGCAGTGACGGGCCCGGGCGACCCACTGGCCTTGGGCGAGCTGCTGCCTCCCCCACCGCCACCTGTCTCCTCCTCGCGAGGGAGCCGCTGGGGCGACCATGAGGAGATTGCACAGGTGGGGTGGGCCGAGAGGGCCCCTCAGCCTGTCCCGCATGGCCGGTGGAGCGGGCCAGGCTTCCCCCAGGCAGGGCACGAAGCACAGCGAGGGCAGGGAGTGCCGGGCCCGAAACCCCTCGGGCTCCGCGGGAGCGAGCGTCGGCGGGAGGTGGCAGCAGGGGCCTTGCTGGAGAAGGACTTGCACAAGCCTGCATAAACAGCTGCAGAGTAAACCCAGGCAAGGGAGGGTTTCACCTCCTTGAAGGTATCAAGACAGACTGTTTGAAATGCCAGGGTACGAAGTTGCTTTGGAGAAAGCCGTGCCCTGCACGAGGGGGAGGTGTGAAAAGCCCCCCGGGGGTTGTCCCACGTCCATTGCAGTCTAGTGGAAGAGGCAGGTGGGTTTGAAGTCGATCTCCTCCCATAAGCAAATAGAAACTGGGTTTCTGCTCAGGTTTTTATTTCCAGGCTCCCCCTTGTGGATTTATAAGCTATGCCAATGGTCTGTATCCCCTTAGGGAAAAAATGTGTTTAAACTCTTTTTTTTTACAGATTCCCTTTAAAATCCTTCAAGGACACAAGGATGCTGTGAGCTCCTGCCATTTCTGCTGCGAAGACACAAAAATCCTTTCCTCTTCTTTTGACAGATCAGTGAAACTCTGGGTAGGTTATGAATACATTACAGTGCCACTGAAAGCCGAATTCAAGCTTGCATTGTCATGTATAAACATAAATGAGGAATCACCAGTAGACTATCTAAACAGTTATTATTGAATTTTAAAGTAACAAAACTGTTTCCCTGGCTCAATTAAATGATAAGACTCCTCTTTCATACTTTGAATATAGGCTTTGCCTTTCCAAGGGCACTCTTTGTAAGCAGATAGAGGGGAAGGTTCTTCCACGCCAGTGAGAGAGCGAGCTACTAAAATATCCCAAATGCTAACTAATTTTCTGGAAAACAATTAAACTGACATCATTGTTAAGATACAACTTTTTTCAACGTGGGTGTCGTTGAGCAGCTTCTATACTGTTAATGAGGAGGTTGAGAGCATTCCTGAATAGCTATGGCCCTAAGCACTTACTTAAGTGTTTTGTTAGATTAGTGCCTTAGTGCTTGTAATGAAATAATTTCCATCATGTTCTCTGAGTGGTGGAGGTTAGCGATTGTACACTGGAATAGGCAATAAATTTAACTAGCAGCAAGGCCATGATGCAGCATACTTTTCATATGCTGATTTTTGTTTTCCTTAAAGCCTAAAGTTGTCTGTTCTTTTTCTTTCTTTCTCCTCTGATTCCCTTGGTCAGTTTTGTGAAGCTACCTAAAGTTTCCTTAAAATTCCAACCATGTCAGGCACAGCAACCAAGGTTCCCTGGCTGAGATGCACAAGAATCCTGTTTTACAAGATGGCCCAGAGATTTAAGCTTACATAAGTATTTGACTTTTTATGAACAGTGCACCATTTAGCTGTGCTGAATACTTTGCATGTACTGATGTCTATTGTACATGAGCTGGTTTGTAATTCAGTTCAAATACTGATACTAAAGCAGAGCAGTGCCTTAACAGCTAGAGCAGATATGGCTACAAAGAGATGTGCCTCCTTACTAACGTAGCGTACCTGAATTCTATCACACAATTTTATCTTAAGACAGAACATTTGGAAGCAGACAAAAAAAAAAAAAAAGCTTTACTAAAATTTATAGTAGCCCCTATTGTTGTCCTGGGTATCCAAAATTTAGGCTGAGAGACAACTTTTCATCCATCTTGTAAAACAAGTGAGAAGGCTCTAAAGTAGGCAATCATGGAGACTTTTAAAATAATACTTGTCATAGAAACTAAGTAAATACAGCCCAGTGGGTTATGAGATTCATAGTTAAATTTTAATAACACTCTCAAATTGTCAGAACCTGCCTCGTCCCATCATGGAATAGGAATTTATTAAAGTGGAATCTTTTTCCTATTTTTAATGAAAACCTATGCAACCCAATTTGCATGTAAAATATTTAAATCAAAGCAAGAACATGCTAAGATCACCCAAGAATCTTTCTCAAATAAAATGGATAGAGGGGATCCATAAGTATTCCCCTAAAAGAGAATAAACCATACCCATTTTCTTCTGAGGTGTGCAAGATTAGTCTGTCTGATAATACTTGCTTATTTGGAGCATATGTATGTAAAAGTGTTTTAATACAACACATCCTGCATGATGCAGATTTGTCAGGATCCATCCAAGAGCATCCCCCCCCTTAACATTGAGAGCTTCCTAATAAGCATCATAGAAGAGAGATCAGGATTGATTACAAAGAGCTAGGAACACTCTTAATTACACTTTAGAGTTTCTCTGTTTCTTTTGAAAGAGTAGGTATCAAATGATAGATTGCCTCTTAGAGAGTGTTTGTAGTTTCTCTTGTGAGTAGAAAGTACTTCACTGGCAGCGCACACATCTTTTAGAAAACTAAGATTAATAAG